TTCAAGTTTTAGAGAGAAAGTATCTAAAATTTTAAGAGAGGGAAACTATATCAAATTTTAAGAGAGAAATTACATGAAATTTTTCAAAGAGAGACTTTCTCAAAAATATTAGAGAGAGAAATTATATCAAATTTTAAGTTTAAGATAGAAAAAGTATCTTAAAATTTTAGAGAGAAAAGTTATATCAAATTTAAGAGAGAGAAAAACTACGTGAAATTTTTTAGAGAGAGAAACTATCTCAAGAATATTAGAGAGAGGACCTATATTAAATTGAAGTTTTAAAGAGAAAAAGTATCTTAAAATTTTAAAAAGAAACTACATCAAACTTTAGAGAGATAAAATACCTAAAATATTTTAAAAAGAGAAACAATATCAAATTTTAAGTTTTACATCGATAAAGAATCTTAAAATTTTAGAGAACGAAATTATATCAATTTTAGAGAGAGAAACAACCTGAAAATTTTTAGAGTAAGAAACTATTTCAAAATTTTTAGAGAGAGAAAATTTTTCAAATTTCAAGTTTTAGAGAGAAAAAGTACCTTAAAATTTTTGAAAGAGAAACTATATCCAATTTTAGAGAGACAATTGCCTAAAATTTATAGAGATAGAAAATATCTCAAAGTTTATGTTTTAGAGAGAGAAAGTATTTTAAAATTTTAAAAAGTAAAACTATATCAAATTTTAGAGAGAGAAACTACATCAAAAAAATTTAGCGAGACAAAATATCTCAAAATTTTTATAGATAAACTATCTCAAAATTTCAAGTGTTAGAGAGAAAATGTATCTTAAAATTTTAGAGAGAGAAACTATAGCAAATTTTTGAAAAATAAACTATCTTAAAAATTTTAGAGAGAAACTACTTGAATTTATAGAGAGGGAAACTATCTCAAAATTTTTAGAAATAAATTTTCTCAAATTTTAAGTTTTAGAGAGAGAGAGAGATTATTAAAAATTTAGAAAGATAATTTGTATCAAATTTTATAGGGAGAAATTACGTAATTTTTTTTAGAGAGAAATTATTTAAAAATATATCAAATTTTAAGTTTTAGAGAGATAAACTATATCAAAAATTTAGAGAGAGATCAACCTAATTTTTTAGAGAGAGAAGCTATCTTAAAATTGTCTATATCAAATTTCAAGTTTTAGAGAGTGAAAGTATCTTAAAATTATAGAGAGCGAAACTATATCAAATTTTATAGAGTAAAATTACGTAAAAGTTTTTAGAGAGAAACTATCTTAAAATTTTTAGCGAGAAACTATCTCAAATTTTAGGTTTTACATAGGGGAAGCATTTTAAATTTTAGTGAGAGAAATTATATCAAATTTTAGAGAAAGAAAACGCATGGAAATTTGGAGAGATTATCTCAAATATTTGGGATAGAGAAATTGTCTACTATCTAAAATTTCATATTTTTAGATAGACAAACTGTCAAATTTTTTGGAGAGATAAATTAGATAAAACGTTAATTTTTTAGAAAGATAAACTATCTCAAAATTTCAAGTTTAATGTCTTCTCTCAGCTTTTGTCAAACATGGGAAAAAGCATGCTCAAGTATTTTTTTTCTATAAATGGTTTTCATTTGTAAATATTTTCCTGCCAAACTTTCATGCGTACCAAATGACCCCTAATAGCAAAACATGTTATACATCAAAGATGATGCAAATATAATATTTGCATAACTTGGGTACATCCATCCAAACAAGTTGTACTTGATTAACCAGGTTTTAACCTGACAAAATTTTGTTCTCATGGAGCCAAACAATTTTACTACCTTTTATGATTTGAGATCACCAGCTTGGACTATGCTACAAAATTTTTTAAAAAATATATATATTTAGATTTTGAGCTCCATGACCACACACAATTCCCAATTACACAGCTAAAACTAAGAATAATTGTTATTTCCTCATATCAAAACTGACAAACCGAATTATTCACTTTTCCATAAAGCTTAAACTTGAAGGACAATTTTTTACTTAACAAGGCACGCTTTCACTCCCAATTGGGACATGTCACCATATTAAAAGCAATTTAACTGCCAGGGTCCTTAGGAAAATATGTAGCATTTCCATCTATGAATCCAGTATGTTACCCTTTTTACTGAACCACGAGTCCCACATAAAGGAACCACGGCAAAAAGAAAAAAAAGAAAAAAAAAAGGAACAATTATTGAATCTTCACTTTTATGTGTTGTATCGCTACATCTCAAGTTCGATTCCTACTGCTAAATTACCCAACAAATAAAAAGTAAAACTCTTATGCTTTACATCGAATTACTAGCACTGATCAAATCTTTGAAAGAAGGTGTTCATCTCATCTCATCTCCAACTCTTTTACCGGCTGCTATTTCACCTTTACTCCAATAAACGTACTTTCCAAACTTTTATTATTATATGCTTTGCTTTACTTAAAACCCACCCATCGAAATCTCTTCTCTCTTTGGTGTTTGAGCTTCTACTCTTGTTCCCACCCAACTTCCTTGGAAATTGAGAGAAAAAGAGGAAAAGAAAGCAAATTATGAGAGGGGTTTTCATTGCCGGGTCAGAGCAATCATCACATTTTATAAGATAGGGTTTCTATAAGTCGGCCGACTCATATGCGGTCCCCCACTAAAATTTATTTTCTAATTTTTTTTTTAGATTCATCATCTAAGCCAAGATGATCATAAATATGAAAAGAAAAATAACTTTTAAAATAAAAAATATTTTTTTTTAATTTTTTTATACACCATCCATATCTTATTTATAGACGATACACTTTAGATAACTCCCATCCTTAGGATGGACGTTTATAAGTCAGCGGGGACTTGCGGCCGATAACTCGTGAAACAATTTTCCCATTTTATATATTGGTTACATGGAGTGGTGTTTACTGTGCATTCATCGCTATCACATTATATATAATATCTTACATCTAATATCATCACCATCTATCATGGTTGGACTGTGCTGTGGAGGGTGGGACTGGGACGGTGAGTTATAATGATCATGTGTAGCCCAGGGTCAAATAAATGCACATAGGGAAAACGTTTATCTAGGGCCTTGACCTTCTAGTATAACATTAACGCACACATTGATAATCTATTAGAAAAAGTTGGATATATATATATATATATATATAAAATTAATGTTGAGATAGCTCATTAGCTCATATGAACATATAAGCCCAACGGTCTAGATTGAATATGGGCTGATCTGGCGGTCACGACCTCATTTTGTATTTGTATTTGAATTTTTTTTCTAAAAATCCAAATAATTTGAAATTTCAGGCGTGTGTTATTCAAAAATAGTGGAATTGAATAAAATTATCAAAAAATAATTTTCAAAAAATAAATTGAGCAAAATACCATTGAAAAGTTTTAGGGGTATTGTGGTCAATTTAATTTTACGAATTAGTTTTTAAATATTTTTATTAGGTGCATCTTGATGAGAAGAATGTACGCCTAAAATTTTTAGTTATTTGGATTTGTATAAAAAAAAAATTAAAATTCAAACACGACATGAGGTCGTGACTCATATGTTCATATAAGCTAATAGACTAATCTCAGCATTTTGTTTAGAGATAACAACCCCTCAAAATACAAAGTTTAATGTTAGAATATGTTGTGATAGGTGTATTTATAAAAGAAAATCATTACTTTTTGTTTAGAAAATTATTTTAATAGATAACTTAATCATAAAATAAGTGTAAATTTGAAAATTTCCAAAAGTGCAGTAGTATTTTTGAAGTTAGTATCATAAAACTTTACTTGTAGAATACCTTTGTATGAGAGTATCATTTGATTTTGAGTGATATTTATACATATGCCCTTATTTGAGGAACAATATACTACAAAAAGTAATTAAAAAAAAAACACACTTAGTAACCCCACCATTTATAACTCACTATAACATTAACCTATGTATATTGAAAGATTGAAAATTTTAGATTACCCCATATATATGGGCCAGGTTTAAGATATAGGATTGTTTACAATGAGACCATTTGCCTTTACTATGAAGATGTCGCAATTACTTACAATCATCCAATGTGAAATCTGATAGCTTGGGTGCATCACAAAGTCTGAAAAATTTTATTTTGAAGCTTGAGCTTAATCAATGGAATAAATGTAACCATTTAATTTCACATTCAATGGTCAAGATTAACTGTAACCACTTTGTACCAAAGATAAATGGTCTCATGGTATACTTTTCTTCAAGATATACAGTAAAACAACTAAAGTACATATTTGTATCCTTTAAGAAGATGCAATTTAGTATTAGATGACTTGAAAAATTTATTCCGACTTTAATTATAAGATTTAAAGTTTAAAAAATTGTGCCAGTTAAGCAGATTTATAAACATTTCAAAATCTTGAAAATCGATAATCAGAAAATAAACTATTTTTAGGATTTCAATTCTTCTTTTTTCTATATCCATACATATTAGGGTAGGGCTGGTGAGTAGTTGGGGTGCACGTTCTTTTTACACATGAGAGGTTGGAACTCATGTAAACTCCTATAAATATATATATACATGTGATTTTTTCCGGTCCAAAACGAACTCGACAAACGTTAAGAAAGACTTGGAGATGGAAATAAATGTTATCGCTGCATAAATAAGGGAAAAGTTTATATAGAACCCATGTTCTGAAGAATCAAATTAGAGCCCCCTTAAATTTTTTTTATTAAAAGTGATTGTTTTGATACCTAAATATTATCAAATTGATCATCTCCACATGCATAGACTTGAGAAAAGAAAATAGATTTCAAGATTTAAAAATAATGTATTTTGACCGTCGATTTTAAAGATTTTCATAGATATGCTCGCTTCCACTCTTTTTAAAGCTTTAAATTTTATAATTAAGATAAAAATATATTTTGAAAGTGCCGCAATAAAAACTTGAAACCACATTTCTCAACTTTGAAGGTGAGATTTGCTTTGATTGTTTAGAATACAAACCGCACCCCATAAATAAAAGCGGGGCCAAGTAGAAAAAGATACCACTTGCAAAATCGAAAAGAAAACAAAAAGATACGACTGCAAGCGGTGGAAACAGGATTGATGGGAATTTGATGACAGAGGGAGCCGGCCATCTGCAGGGCCTGTGCCATTCGCATCATACTACTTTCTCTCTCTAACTTGACTATCTCTCTCTAACCGTCTGTTTTCCCTTCTTTCCCATTTCAGCCCGCCATTATCTCTCTCCTCCTTCCCTGTGATCTCCCCTCTTCCTCAAGCTACACATTCTCTCTCTTACTTGATCGCAGGCCTTTCTCTCTCTACAACCGCATCATTTTTCTCTCTCCACTTTATCGCAGGTTTCCTCTCTCTTGTGGCTCTTCTTGAGGGAGTGAGACCTCAATCAGAAGAATTTATCTCTCCCTCTCTTTCTTTGTCACTCTACAATGTCTTCGAGGTCTCAGCGATCTTCGAGCAGTATTTCTCCATTTCGATTGAGAAATAAGCAGCCTTCTTCTGTTAAGAGGCCCGCCACTCCTCCCTCCTCCACCTCTTCTACGCGCCCTCCTCCCCCCTCGAAGTCCTCTGTCTCTCCCTCCACTCCATCTTATGACAAGCTTGAAGTCGGTAAATCCAAGGAGAATGTCACTGTTACTGTTAGATTTCGCCCTCTCAGGTAAAATGCCGTTTCTTATCTCCGCCCCATGTTCCCCCTTTCTTCCTCTCTGTTCCTTACGGGTGCTTTACTTCTGATTAAGCTGTACTCTTTTTGTTGGGTCTTGTTTATTTATTTTGCTGGGGCATTGTTAAATGCTTTTGCTGTGGTTAATGTGTAGCTTGTTTTGGGGTTTGTTTTGTTGGGGCATTTGTGGGTCTTTTCATTCTGATTTTTTTTTTTTACTTTATTATGATTATTTTTTTAATTTTTTGTGTTGTTGGGGCATTTCTTGGAATAGTGCTCGTGAGATAAACAAGGGGGACGAGATCGCCTGGTATGCTGATGGAGACTACACAGTCCAGAATGAGTATAATCCATTGGTAGCATATGGTTTTGGTTGGTAGTCCTTCCCTTCTATCTTCTCTTGCTTGTTTCTTACTTTGTTCTTTGCAATGGGAATTTATACATTGATTTTTACTCAAATTGTCATCGTTAGCATATGAATGATGCATTCTTTCCTTGAAGTTACTATCCTGGTAGGTTTCGGTGATTATTAAGTGGTAAATGTTCCCTTTGTTGCATTCTTGTGAGCCTGAGGATTTTGAACTTCTTTTTTGTTCTCTGTGGCCTTTTGGTTTCCAGCTGGAATACTTCCTACTTGCAATTTTCTGTCGTTCTTGCACCTTGGGAGCTCGAACATGGTCATTTCTCACCAAGAATTCGTTTCATTTGACTTATTTTTTGATGGGTTTTATGCAAAGCTACTGTATGGAACCACCTTGTGGGAGTGAGGTTAATTGTTCGCATTTGAAACACAGTCTGATAGTAAGAGTTGACTACCACCCAAAGTTGTAGCTATGGAGAGCATATCTTTATGGCACTTATGTGGGATTGTCTGGTTCCAGTGGAAATCACCTCCCGTCACTTCTTTATTTTATTAATGCGTGATAAGATCATGTACTGGCTTCTTGATCATCTCAATTTTTAGACTTTGATGCTAGAATTACTTATAGAACACTAGAATTTTGGACTGTTATGTCACTTGGGTTCCACCATTGGATTAAGGTCAATTTGAGCTTTGGGGCAATCCAGGGCCCGGTGGGGTGGGTGGTGTTGTCAGAGATAGCTTGGGCAACGGGTACATGTTCTAGTGTCAGAGATGGTACAGAGTGTCAGATTTCTTATGCCATGAAGAAGATGATTTGACGACACCAAGTGTTTTGAAGAGATAAAATCCAACAGTGTTATACTAATATTCTATTGTATAACATTTAAACTGATATTTCATTTTATGGCAGGTAGGTTAGTTGTTCAACTTGGAACACAATTTGATAGTAAGAGTGACTACCACCCATATGGGGAGTATAATATGCATTCATGGTACTTATCTGGCTGGTCTAGTGGAACTGTCCCCACTTATTTATTTATTGAATGCATAATGAGATCATGTACTGGCTACGAGATAAATTATGTGATCACCTTAGTTTTAGATGTCAATGCTAGAATTGCATCTAGAACACTAAAATTTTGTGTTGTTAAGTTACTTGGGTTCCACTACTGGAGGGAACTCTTAAGTCCAACTTTTATGGGAGCTTTGGGGCTATCCAGGGCGTGATGAGGTGGATGGTGTTGTCAGAGATAGTTCGGGTACAACAGTGTTCTCTTACTTAGGACTTATATTGTACGGATATGGGCGTGTGTTTTAGTCGCAGACATGGGTGCAGAGTGTGAGATTCCTCTTGCCATGAAGAAGACGATTTGGCGACATTGCATATTGTGAAGAGACAACCAAATCCAATAATGTTTTACTGATATTCCATTTTTTGTTGAGTAGCAAGAAAAAAACCCTTATACCTTAATTGGCTGAATCCTTAGATAACTTTCAAAGTGCTATAAATATTTTCAAAGTTTATGTGAGCTTACTCAAAACGAAAAGAGTATCAAATCTCAAGAATGCTGTAATTAATAAACAAGAAGGAGAATCCAGAAGACCATGCGCTGTTACAGGTAATGTCCAGCATGGATATGAAACGAAAATAGAATAATCTATGTAACATAGCTCTGTGCCTGCTGGTTCTGTGATTCTATGACTGCAAAAAGTATGGCTCTGTTACGGGCGTCAAAAAGATCGTACTTCGATTCTGGGACCATTGATAGTGGAAGGAGACTCTTTATATTTGATAACATGGGCCACTGGTGAAAAACAACTTCCATTGAGGATGACATATTATACTTTAGAGAGGGCATGAGATATCTCTTTCCAATATTTCTTCAGAGAGAATTTCTAAAAAAAAAAAAACCATTTCTTTAGAGAGGCAAATAATGGTGCAATTTTCTGGCCAAAGACTGAGCTCTAAGAGATCACATTGTTAGAAAGTTTACCGTGTCGTGAGGCTATGTGTTCTATGTATTTGTTGTGATCCATGATAGTCTCTCTTTCTCCCTCACTTATGTTACTTGTCTGTACTCGTGAGACAACTTGATATATAAATATATAGCATTTTGTACCCAGTTCAACATCCAAAGTAACAGGCATGGAAAAGTTACTCACTTTCAGGTATTGGTGCATCATGGCTGTTACATGTTAAAACCTAGAATATGTGATATTCTTCCAAAAAAAAAAGAAAGAAGAATATGTTACATTGAAAATCAGGGATGCTCATCAGTGTACATTATTCCCTACAATCTAATGGGTCTGATTGACAACTTATCTACCACGTCTGGCCCCTGATCCTATGTGCATTAAAGTTTTTGTTACCAAATTACAATAATTTTCAAGATACTGTATTTCGCTTTCCAGCAGTGTTAAAATTCACTTCGGAGCCTGTTTCTGCTGTGTTGGGGAAGAGAAGAGCTTCTGTTATTCAGTTGTTTATGAAAACTCTGGATTTCGTCTTAGCGGCCTGCTTTGATTTGAAAAGGAGCGATTTGGGTTTCTGCTTCTTCGTGGGAGGTCCAAGGATTTTTATTTAATCATCATATATAATGATGATAAAATTGGCATCATAGGAAAGAAAATGTAAAAATGATTTTATATGCAATTTCATTGCGTGGTGTTATACAATCTAGTCACAACTTAGAAGTAAACTGTAAAATATGAGCAAATTACCACCATCCAAAATCGACTAAAAATCTAAAATATAACAATTAGAAATCATGAGTTTAATTGTTCACCCCAAAGTGTAATTGGGCACATGATCCAACTTCCTACTATACAAACAAATATTGTAGCCGTGAAACCTTAATTTAGAAGGGTTTATCAAAGTATCAACGATCTTTATTTGAAGTAAGAAGGCAAAATATGTTATCTTACTAAACAAGGGTAAATAAACAATTTCTGTCCAATTTTTTATAGCCGAATCAGCCAAATCAAGTTTTCTTTGTGGAAATAGCCAAAACAGCCTGTAAAATATCCTGAATAGGATATTGTTTGTGGCTTTACTTAGGTGAATAGGCTGAAGCCAAAAGTGTTTTTTTGGGCTGCATTGAAGCGAAACTTCAGCACTGTTTTCCATGAAGACTTCGTTGTTCAGCCCTCATATTATGCTGAGACTTACAATACATGGAAATGGTTGTGGACACAGCTAAAATACCAATTTTTTATGATTTTACATATAATATCAAGGTATCTGACATGGATACGGTGTCCTTTTTAACTATACGTGTATCGTAGGTTGAGACCATTCCCATCCAACCTCAAGTGTTAGAGAATTTTTGGTACACACTCTTTTTTGATAGGTAATAAATATCTCATAGGAAAACAAAGGAAGCTACAAAATGAAGCTATCTTGAACCTGCAGAGGTTTAAAAGCACCAAATTGAAAACCCTCTATGGTGACACCAGTTTTTCTGTACTATCCATTGCCAAATTCATTTCCTATATTTCGTATTATGGTTTACAATTGAAAACTTGTGGAAAAATCACCCTCCATAGGGTTACCTTCCTTCACACTCTGTCATTTTGTAAATGAAGTGACTATCCTATCCATGTCTGTCTACTCAAGTGCCCCCTGCTGTTTTGGCAAACAATACTTCTTCTGTTGGAATTGATGACATCTGATTCTGTGGTTGCCCCTACTTTGCAAGAAATCCCTTCATAACTTGGAAAAGGACTTGTCACCTGACTTTGGCATTGAAAATGAGTCTCACTGCCAGCATTATGTACTTCCATTACTTGCCCCAAGGAACAAACCTTCTCAGGTCTTCAACTTGTCTTTGTTTTGGTCTTCACTGATGCAATATCACCTATCTCCCAAATTTGCCCTTCCTGAGGTTTGGCTCATTGTATTCACTAACTAAACCACATCCTTAGTTTATGTCTCGATATTGTTAATAGATGGAGGTAGGCAAAGAGGGGTCACTGCCTATGTGCTGTCCGTGAGATTGATGTTGACATGTCAACAATACATAGGTCTCCTGTACTCTTTGCTGTAATTTCAGTTTCGTTCATATCATTTTCCACTTGTATTTCTTGCTTACACTTGTATCTCTTGCTTAACTGTTTCTTCACTTTGTCATTTTATATGCTTAGAATCAAGGCAGGTTCATCTATTGCGAATATATTTTATTCCAGGGATTTTACTTTCCTGAAATCCTTGCTTTGCAGATAGAGTGTTTGGTCCAGCGACAACCACTCGTCATGTGTATGATGTTGCTGCTCAGCATGTTGTGAGTGGTGCAATGGAAGGCATTAATGGTAATTAATATTGTTTATGATATGTTGAACTTGTTTGCCACATCTGAGTTGCTTCTCGCTGGTCAATGTATTAGCTATGTCACTTTCATGAGTGTTATGGACAACATGGAAAGGGATGCTACACCCTAAACTACAATACATCATGAATATGTTGTTGTCTTAAGTTGAGATTTAAACAGACATGAGGTTAGTTGATTTACTGGCAAGGTTGTTTGGCAGTTACCAAAAAGGAAAATATTTTTGATGTGATGCTGAAAATTGCTTCTTGTTTTGACTTGGTCTTCAGGTGCATGGATCATGATAGGCTGAAAGACAACCTAGGAAACATAATACTAGATGTTGTTAAAACTTATAGTCAACTCCGAAGTTAAATGAGTGCCTTCAAGGAAAAGGACTGGGACAATGAGTGCTGACTGTTGTGAATGTTTTTATTTGAGAAAAGGTTCATTTTGACTGTTGTGAATGTTTGTTACGACTTTCTTATTTTTACTTTCCTTTTCATCCCATTGGCAGATGCAAAGGCAGTAAAAAAAAGCGTAGAGTGTAAACTCAATTCAGGTCAAGGTGAAGGTGTAGAAAGTGAATTACTGTTTGTGGACGCATGAGATTCTTGGTATTAAGGTTAAAAGAATATGAAAACCATAAAACAATAAGAATCAGAACATTAAGGTATTATACAATTATAAAACTTATATTTCTCCTACTTATGTCCATGAGATGTACATCAATAATGCATTCTAGATTCCATCTTGTAAAGACTGAGCTACTGTTTCATAGTGAAAGTTTCTTAAGCACGCTTAAACCATATAGATATCAAATACTAGCCAGGGATGCTACTTCATCAAAGTTGATGGAGATTGTGAATCCAATCTCATGGACTTGTTTGTGAATAATTGTGAACTAAAACACTAAGATTCATTTTTAACATCGTCAATAATATTATATATCTTATAAGTTCAGGGATTCTGAGTGTTCTCAACATTCTTTCTAAGTTTAAACATTTGAGAAAGAAATTTTATTTGCATCTTCAAATATGCATTGAACCAGGGTTCCTTATTCTAAGTACCCACATTATTGGAGAGAACTTACAATGGCCCATAACACGTTCCTGATTATCAGACTTCAATTTGCATGTGTCATGTTCCCTTTTCCTACTCAATCCAAACTCATCTCAGTAACGTGTATCACTAAGTACCCACATCATTGACTTATATATCCTAACTTAACTTAAAAATTGTAATGACAGTCTACCCCCATGAACAGTACCTATAAACAGTAATTGTGAATAGTTCTCATGAAGTAAATAAAAAAATTAAAAACCTTAGAATTCCTAAACAACTATAAACCCCTAGAAATAAACCTTCAAACTAAAATGATAATATATATCCTCTAAAATTGAATAAAAAAAATAAATAAGAATATTTCAATTGAGGTTTGCTACCTTTGGAAGCTTCTACTTATTTGCTTCAGATAGATTTAGCTGATTTTAATAGTCATATTTCCACTAGGGAATTTGGGTAAATCATGTTTCTTTGTTCCCCTTTAGCTCTTCCATATGAATTGTTCGAGATGTGAAATTGTTTGAAAATTAGTCTTCATGATTTTGTGTTGACAGGATGCCTGTCTTAGTCTCTCATCAAATAACTGGGATACTCCCCATCTATTTTATCTTTTCTGATTGGTAGGATGCTTCCCATTTGTTAAAAGATTTATTGCATGGAGCATTTTTGCCTATGAGTTCTACAATACTGTTAAATTGTATGAAATTGTGTGGCATTCTTATGGAGACATGCATATGCAATTTTTTATTTCAGTTTTTCTAAGATCTAGTTAAATTATTTCATGTTATGGTGACGACAAAAGTTGTTTCTGCAGGCACTGTATTTGCTTATGGTGTTACTAGCAGTGGAAAGACTCATACAATGCATGTGAGTTTCTGGTTTTTCTTCCAATATCCTCAAAACTTTAGATGGTCGATTCCTGAATTTCACAATTAATGTTTTCACTATTGAAGAGAAGGTTCAAGATAAGTTATATATTGTTTTCATGTTCGCTTTACAAAGATATGTGCCTCTTATGAAAAATCAATGTTATCAAGACTGGTCCACAGTTATGGGGGTGCGATCCCTAGGAGATGCTCCTTCTCCGTGGACACAGTTCTGCATTCCCTGAGCTGATCCTCCTTAGAAGATTGCTCCTGTTATATTGGATTTCCATCCCATTTAGCATGAGATCTTGATCCCATTTGGCATGAGATCTCGATCCCATTTGGCAAGGGATATTGATCACATTTAACATGGATCACAGTCCATAGTCATTAGATGTATGATTATAGACATAACAATAGTCACTAACTCACTATACTATGGTAGTGCGTGTGCTCGTCTGTGTGTATCTCTACATGTCGGTTACATGGCTCATATTGATACTCACGATCTCACTCCAACACTCTCCTATTCTAGCTCCTAGTGCTTAAAAATGTGGATTCGGCCGCCCAGGCGCCCGCCTAGAGGCAGGGTGCCTTCACCAAAATTGAAACCCTCCCTCCCCCCCTAAAAAAACATTAAAAACATGTGAGTTCTTAGGGCATAATTTTAAGCCTTAGGGAGTTTTTAGGGCAATTTTAGAGCCCCAAACTCCTTGTGAAATAGACGAAAATGTAATTAAACATTCACATAACAGATTTACAGATACAAGTCTCAAATCAAAACCCTCTTTCCAATATGATAATACTTTAAAAATAACAAAATCAAATTGATGTCGGTCTGTTGGGTCGCCAAAAGGCTTCAAAATCAACTGCTAGAAGCTCCAAATCCACCCATGAACTATTTGCCTTTGTTTTAGGAAGAAATTGAAAAAATAAAAAAGTGATCGATCTTTCGATAAATCTCAATATAGTTGTTTTTGGGGAGTTTTTCTCACCTTAAAAGCCATGGTTTTGGTTTTGGGGGTTTAGAATATCCCTTAAAACCCTTTTCCCCCCTTTTTAGGGGGGAAAAATGACTTTTTTTAACCCTCAACAAGACCCATTTTCCACGTTTTCTCAACTTGTCATGAGGCGGCGCGTAGGCAGGTGCCCAGACTGAAGTGTTTAGGCGGGGCCTTGCCCGCCTAGGCGGACGCTCAGATGCAAGACACATAATGACCTTGCCTTGCAAGCGCCTAGTTGTTTTTAAAAATTTCCACCTAGGCAGCCGCCTAGGCGATTGGGTGGGCGAATATTTGAACATTGCGTGCTCCTACTCCCAACAATCATGGACCAAACCAAAATAGTCGTTTTGATTTTTAGGATCGAGAACCTGACCTTGAGCTGGTCTAATGTGATCACTGAATGTCTACTTGGTTGAAACTATTCAGAACTGAATGGTTTTGAGAGGCAATTTTCAATTTTTATACTTTTCATTACTAATTTACAGACTGATTTGACAAGCGAACTTGGAGGTCAGACCGTTTTTAGGCCAAACTAGTGCGCTCAATGGTTCTATGACTGGCCTTATCTTGATAACATTGTGAAAAATGGAATCATCATCCCTATTTGGGAGATACAATGTCACATCAAACTTTCTTCAAGAAAGGTTGATTATACTTTCATAGGGCTTGTAGATCAAATTTTTGTAGTTTGATATTTTTTTGGATGTATCATATGTAGCTTGATATTGATATAAATTTTTACTCATTGGGGACTTCGTTACCTTCTCAAGAATTTGATTGCATTGGATGATATGAGCAGTTTTTGGTGATGGACAATATGATGGATGTGTGAGTGATTCTTAGGGCTAATTGTGTTAGTTTTCATGTATGCTAAGAAATTTGGATTGCTATCTAGTGGAAAGTGCAATCTATGGTTTATATGACTCTGGTGAGAGATTTGAGAGTTGTCTAAGTGATGCCTGCTTGACAAAGCTTTATAAGTTCTTAAACAATACTCTAGATTGGACTCACTTTAATCTTGTAGAACTTTGAAGAATCTTCAAGAAGACTGAGCTTGTCTTGAAATTGACTTCTTAAAAGTTTGAGTATTTCTCATAGTTACTGGAATCTCTCCATCGACCTCGTGTTTTCAGTTCTGAAATCTGATTCCGCATTTCCGTTAAGGAATCTCCACAGAAACTGTTTTTCGAAACCAAGAAAACTCGACTCCTTAATTTCAGAATCTCTATTCGACACATCTTTAGAAACCATTTTTCGGAACCAACGAAACTCGATTCCTTAATTTCGGAACCTTGATTTAATATATCTTTAGAAACCATTTATCAGAACCGAGGGAACTCAATTTCTTAATTTCGAAATCTCGATCCAACACATATTTAGAAGCTTGAACCCATTAATTATGGGTAGACGTTCCCAAATATATCAAATCTGGATTCTAGCTAGGATTAAATATGGATTCCAAGTCAATTGGTGTAGAAATCTTCCTTCAAATGCTTCTAGTTGTTGCAGGGTTTCATTATTTTACTTGTGCGACCTTGGATGGCCTTTACTTTAAATTTAAAATATAACTAGTAAATACAACACATACAATTAAATTTAAAACCATGGCGTAGACATAATCCTATTTTGTTTTTATAATAATGAAGTCCAAATCACAATTTAGAAATGCTTACCTTTTGTATAATGATCATAAGTTCAATAATCAACACAATCACTTTAAAATTTGGCAAACCTTTTAATAAGAAACATCCAATATAGGTTCTAAAGTTGATGAGGCTCAAGATGTGCTTGTGGCTTCCTTCTTCATAAAAATGAAATCTCTATTTCTGATAGGGGTCGTCAAATGCATTCCATAGTCCACATTATTATAAATCTCGATCTCAAATTGGCATGGATCTTTGATCCATATATTTCAGAAACTTGATTCCAAATATGTTAGAAGCACGATTCGAAACAACAACATATCTCTGTTTCACAGATGTCAGAAACTCGATTCCATAGATGTCGGAAACTCGATTCCGCATATTAATGAATCTTGACTCTTAGAATGTTGATTTCAGGGGGAAGGGAATCTCGATTCCAAGGAGGACAGAATCTCGATTCCATATGTGTATGAAACTTAGATCTATTTTGGTCGAAACACAAATCTCAAAAACTAGGAATCCCATTCCTTGCGATTCCTATTGTACAGACAATGATTCCTAAGGCAGGAATCTTCTAGCCAGCCGCAATTCCACGATTTCAGTTCCTAAAACGATTCGAGTTCCTAGGCGTTTTCAACAACTATGGTATTTCTTCATTTTATTCTATCGAAAACATATTTCTTCAATTCTTTTGCTTAAAGACTCCCCACAAGGTTCAGGCTTTTGCTTGGATCCTTGCCCATGGTAGGCCTTGACAGGTGACAAACTACAGAAGGGTGGTCTCAATTGCCAAATCGCTTTGTCATGTGTATGGAGGAAGAGGAGTTAGCTGACCTTTGTTTCTTCACTGCCAGGCCACATCTTCTCTGCGGGCTGAACTCCTACTTTCCAATCTTTGGTAACTTCACAGATCACTCAACAGCTTCTTGCTGCCTTTATCCCTTTACCCCTGCCAAAAACTGGCTGTCACCTCTGGATAACCTCTGTTTTCGCTTTGTTATGGGTGGTCTGGAATGAGAGATGCACACATATCTTTTGAGCACTCTCAGACCCCACCCACTTCCTTCTCGAGCACCTAAACAATGTTGCAATCTATTGGACTAAGAGATGACTGCTGTGCAGCAACTTGAGATCCTCTATCTTCCTCTCAACTTGAGCTCCTCTATCTATATTTTGCATCTCACTACTAGTCCTCCGACCTCTTGGATCTTGTGGTTCCCACCTACCCCCTTCCCCGGGGGGTCCCCCTTTCAAGCTAAATGTTTGTGGATGCTCCCTAGGAGACCTTGTACCCTCGGGTTTGGGAGTAAGCCTCACAGACCAGAACTCTTAAATTCTGTCGTTCTCAGGGTTCATAGGGAAAACAGGCTCCACCCTGGCAGAAACTGTATCTATTCTAGAAGGCCTCAAATGCACCTTTCGAGCTATCACCAACATAAAATACTTAAATAGTGGAGAGAGACTCCAAGAACGTGATCTCATGAGCTACAAAAAAGGTTCAACCCCCTTGGAGACTGGCACACTTCTTTGATCACTTATTTGCACTTTGTAGCGGTACTCAAGTCACCTTCAACCACACCCCAAGGGAAGCAAATACTTGTTGATAGGTTGGAAAGTAGGGAGACGGCAGGCTTTATGTCCACCCACACACTGGCTTGAGATCTTTTTCCGAATTCTCTCTCATCCTTTCCTAGTCTCTCTCTCCTGTCTCCTGTCTTTCTGCCTACTAATTTATCTCTATCTCTTCTATCCTGTTCACCCTTCCTCTCTGTCAAAACGTCTCATTTCCTTTTCTTCTCTATAACCTCCGCTCTCTCCTAACTTCTACCACCTCTCTTTCTCTCTATTCTCCTCCTTTCACTATTGCCTGCAGTCTACTGCTTGTAGGCTGCTGATGATAGAATGTGATGTTGTTTGGTTTCTTGGTTTGCTCTTTGGAACCCTTTTTGTACTTGAGCCCAGGTTTTGTAGGTAGCCATATTAGGGATTTTGTATAAACTTTATATTGAAAGTGGACAATGTGAACTAACATAGTTTATGTAGTTTGAAAATTTTCTTTTACCAAACCGGCTAGGACACTTACATAAGTCCAAAGATTACAGTAAGAACTCAAATAAACAAATAAAACTCCAAAAATGGATTCTCACTTGCTGTCACTTTAACAACTCTTTATTACATAAATAAAAAATTATGTAGACTTGGTCTTGGGAACAAGAAACATAGAATGCACGTAAACTAAAACGTGCCAAAAGATTACCTCACTTGGACATGATATACCCCACACCAGGTCTCCTCCATGGATGGTGCATGTGATTAAGGTCTTTCTTAGATTTTACAAGTATGGGAAGCTTTGGCTAGAATCCAGATGAGAGCATGTGGAACAACTATGAGACTATCTCCTCAATTTCAATTTGTGGGCCATACCCCTCTAGATCGCTATCAATGGTTGGGGCTTCCCCCGTTCTTTGTCTGAGAGAGAAAGATAGAGGGATGAGAGAGAGAGAGGGTAGCTTGCCACCTTGAGGGGAGAGAGAGAGCTTTAGGTCATAAGGTGTAGAGAGATGACCCCCAATGAGATCTTTTATAGACTTGTGGTTAGGGTTAGGGTTTAGCCATCTTTATAAAAATTTGATCTTGACCATTGATCAAAGTTAACCTGTGGGGTGAGAGATCTTAGCCATACAATCCATAGATCAACCATCATGATCTAATGGAAGGTGCTAAAATATTTTCCTTCGGCTTCCTTAACCTAATCCTGTCAAATATTTAGTGTAGAAAAATATAATGCACTTGTCTTTTATTTCAATTAAATATCTACACACGCTTCTTTTGAAAAGTCAACTAACCTTTATTACAAAACCCTTCCTATTTCATTTCAATCACTTGAAAGGTCCATATTTCAAGCCAACCAAAATAGAAAGAGAGGGAAAGAGGTGGGGCGTGACACCCATCGGGCACTTGTGGGCCCCACACACGCCCCAATGTATGCTACAAACGTGGGGCTCATGGACTATAATGGGGTCCCATGTATTTAAATAATATTAAAATTCATCAAATGGTTTTTAGAAAATAATAAGTATTTTCATTTTCTCTCTAAATAATTGAATACTTGAAAATACAGATAATCTTATTTAAAAATCAATTTTGAAGAAATAAAATATCCAGAGACTTCTAAAAAATGTTTTAATATTCTAAAGATCATTTATAATCAAATTAATTATTTTCAAATTAATTTGATGGGAATCGGATCTAACTTTGTTAAGGAAAATGCAAAAATACTGAGGCACTTTATCTCTACTAATGACCATGTCGCACATTCACTTTCTCAAATTGACCGAGTAGTTTTCATGACTTACAGTCCATCACAGAGGTTCATGATTGCGCGACCAAGGCCAACCAATAGGTGATGGGAACACAATTCTAGTTTATGGACTATAGATTCCCCTTAGGGACAAGCCTAGGTCATACAGACCTATGCGTACATCTTGCAATTGGTGCATGGGGGCTATCTTCTAGCACATGTGTATGTAACACCCTCAATGGTATTCTCTCCCTAGTATGGCTATCATATGTACATACCGTGTGATGGTCTATGATGAGGATTTGACCCTTGTCCCTTCAGGCCTATCAATCACACACAAGGGTCACAAAGTCCCTTGGCTAACTACCCTGGGATCTCTCCGACCTCATAGCCCTTGGTTGTGCTCATAGCCCTTCTTGGTTGTGCTTTATGCCCAAGTATTATAGGGCTTTAGAATTCAACTGGCCTACCTCATCAAGCCTAGTATGAGTCTCGACATCAATATTGCCAACTTCGATCCCTCTGGACCATACTCCTATTGGAGTTTATTGTTCCACTATCATATAATTCATTACATACTCTCGTAAGGCCTTTAAATGACTATATAAACCCAACATAAATTACAATAATATAGTCAACTACTTCTTCAAAAAAAAAAAAAAAGAAAGAAAAAACAATTGACTGACCAAGACAACTTGTGTGCTGGTTGGTTGACCTAGCTTGTGACCATGTTTGGTTTGAAAAGCTTTGGTGCAAAATGGAAACTCATTAGGTCCAATTACTTTACTATGAGGTTTGGGTTTGTCTAGGTTTGGAAAGCGGAAACCCATGAGCTGATATATATTTTTTGCTTTTATATTTTATTTTTGGATTTGTGTAGGTAGTTATTTGCTTTGTCTTTAGAGGTTCGATTTTATCAATTACTTTTTGGTCATGTCGTACCAGCCGCCTAGGTGGGGCTTAGGCGGGCACCTTTGGTGTCCTTGCTCCTAGGCTGCTGCCTATGCAGTACCTTTCCTTCATAGGCGGGCACCTAGCGCCTTAGCAAAGGTTGCCCTTTTTTTTTCGTCCATTTAATTATAAATTACTATAATTAATGACCTCCTCTCTCTGATAATTACAATGGCATAAAAAACGAAGGAGGGAAAAGACAAACAAGAAGAAGGGAAAAAAAAATAAAACAAGAGGACAAAAAAAAAAAAAGAAGAAGGGCAAAAGAGAATTAAACAATAATATTATATGTAAGAGTAATAATCAAGAGGAAAAACCTCCAATTTTTTGTCACTTCAGCAGGCCTTTTCTTATACACGTGTCATTTGCAGCACTACTCTTAGACTTCTTATCATTTACTTGATAATGTAATAAAGTACCATTTTAACCATGAACCATTTTTTTTTATTTTTTTATGAAGTGACTATGAACTATTTTTGATTTCTAAATTTGTCCTCAGTTGAATATTCAATTATTGGATTAGGACAGATTGGTAATTCTGTCATAAATGATATCCTTGGGTGTACAAAGGTCAAACCATGTGTCAGATCATCTAGGACTCTTTAATTTTTTAGTTGACAACTTTTTGGGACAAAAGCATAGTGATTTTCTCATTCATAAGAAATCCTGTGTGTGCAAAAGCCACACAATGTGTCGAGGAGCTTCTTTTTTTTTGTTTTGTGTCGATGAGCATCATTCTGTTTGTGTTGTTTTTGCTGGGAGGGGGGGTGGGCGATTGGTTTGTTTTTCCTTGTTCCTGGGGGCCAGCCTAGCCCCAAAGCGCCAAGTCGGGCACGTTGCTTTCTTAAACATTTGCATCTAGATTGATTTTATGTTATTTGAATGATGCTTCACTGCTTTCCTAGGCTCACCCCTAGGCAAGGGTGGTCTAGAATCTCTTGAGAAATGAATGATAGCACAGAGAAGGAGGAGAGGATTGACAGGGACAGATGCATATTGCACAGGGGAGAAGTGCACTAGGAGGAAGTGTTGCATCCTGATTGGCACAAAAGGGTTGGTTAGGTTCCAATACTGTTGGTTCCTTGGTGATTCCTAATGGAAATTCATCTCTTTGATCATTCATGTATTCAGGCTTCACATAGACGTCTCCTAGATTGCTATGTAGCTCATATTTTCTCTTGTGCGCAATGTTTTGAATTTTTTGATTTTCCATATTTTGCTGATCTACATTAACCTTCCTCTCAAGAACAAGAATGTTTCCCATGTATGATTTGTTGAATTTAATCTTGTAGCCAATTGTTAATTTTCTAAGTTTGAACCCTTCGTAAGAAATGGGAAAAGTCACGAGTTGGAGGCATCATATCTATGTTGCGCATGAAATGTTGCAACAAATCTGTACAAATATTATGGAGTATCAATTTTCATGAACCAATAAAGATTGAAAACTACTGTACAATTATAAATTTGGTTATCTTTTTATCATTTAAATCAACCTTTTATTTCACTCTTCTCCTTGTTCATTATTATCATGTATAGATGTTTTATCATTAACATTGAAGTGTTGTTTTCATTTGGTCATGTGTTAAATGCTGCAAATTCAGGATGTGGAAAGTATACAAAGGACCATTTACTTTTGGTACAAGGAGGTCACAATCGCTCGTGTTTGTCAAATTTCAAATTGGGTGGTTGTAAGAGCGTCGTTGACTAGAATCAAAATTCAAAAAACGTTTCTCGAACTTCATGACAGACACTAAGCCATCCAATTTGACATCTAATGGCTAAAAGTAGTTGTGATGTCCTTGTGCCAAAGATAAATGGTCTCACAGTATACAATCCCTTGAGCAAATGGCAGTATTAACAAGAAGGTTTTGTAGAACCTTATCTGCAAGAACACATCTTGACATCCTGCTGAATTAATAAGGTGCTTATATATCTTGCTCATCGAAAAAGGGAAAAAAAAAAGGCGTTAAGCATAACAAAGCTTTGGCTTGGTAGTGAGATATCTGGTTTGTAGTTGGAGAGGTTTTGGGTTCAAACCTCTCTTGTAAACCAAGCTGAATTACCCAGAAAAAAAGGGAGAGTATGGAGCATTGAGTTATACATTGTCTGTAATACTTTTTTGGGAATGCTTTTCTTGTATTATTGGCATAAGAATTCCCTTCATGTGAATACTCGTGTCATTTTAATCAGTTTTTTATCATTCATTATGTTCTTCTGAGTGTCAAGAATCGTTACACATTTTTATAAGTGAACTTGCAGGGTGAACAAAAGTCACCAGGAATAATCCCATTGGCAGTGAAGGATGTATTTGGCATCATACAGGAGGTCGCTACTTGGTTTTAGTTCCCTTATTACGTGCACAAACAGAATTATGGATATCTTGTTGACTTGATTATGGATATCTTGCTGACTTAATTACTTTTTCTTTTAGACACCTGGAAGGGAGTTTCTTTTGCGTGTTTCATACCTAGAAATATACAATGAGGTCAGTGCATGTTCCTTTACCTATTGGATGTACATATTTGAGCTTTTCATTTCAGTTGCTGGCTGATGATTCTGCATATTGTGGACGTATGATATTTATAAACATTATTAAAGATTGAGATGAGATTTATATGTCACTGTGGGCCTTTTTTTTTTTTCCTGATGTTTCAGGTATGCTTGTTTCCAAAAAGTTGTATATCTCATGTGACTGCATACTTGTATTTTATTAGATATTGAGTTTATTTTGTTGATCCTTTACCTTTTGGGGGACATTATGGCCTTTTTCAAACTGAAATCGAGGTAGTTGTTATTATTGCCAGAATTCCATCCAATTTCTTTTTCTTCTAAGGAGGTGGAGGGAATAAGATAATGACTACATTCATGGTCTTTAAGTCCAAGCTGGGAGCTCTTCTAATGTGAGGGATACATGGAGCTACTGGATTCCTAGGTCACTTCTGCCACTAATGTTTTCATGCAATGTGCCTCGCTTGCATGACCTAAAGACTCATGAATAGTTTTCTCATCTGAGTCGCATTTATGTTTTTAAGAATTCAATATATCATGTATCTTAGTGCATTTGGACTAAAATTCCTTTTTATTTATCTGTGACGCTATCATACTTAACATGATTCCCCCCCCTATGTTTTTATCTCTTTCCTTGTTGTAGTGGCCATATGACCAAATACAGATGCATCCTTGTTAATTGAGTGAGCTATTCTTTATAGAGGTTGTCTTAGCTTCTCGTTTTGTGAAGATTAAGAATAGATTGTAGAGTGCTTCTTTTGACCAGGAAGAAGGCTTCATTTTGGATGTTTTGATTTTGCGTTAAGTCTTTTGGTTTTTTATCATTAATGGTAATTACTCATTGCTGGAAACAAATTCAGCCTACTCGGAATCATCTAAGTCAACCCAGATCATCCCTTCTTTGAGTAAAATATTTCATTGGGTTCTGCTGAGTTTGACATATTTGTTCTCTGCACTAGATAGGATTCTGCCAAATTTGGCCATAATTTCGTGATGCAGCGCCTACTTGTTTTTGAATGGACTTGTCTCGTGTTTCAATTTTCAAAATTTGCATTCCGGACTTTGCCTGCCCTGTTGATTCGTAGAGATTTTCATCTTTTTCAGTAACATTGCTTCATGAAAATATGAGATGGGTTTGTGTCTGTTCTTAGCAACCGTGCTTCTTGAAGATAGGAGCACAATACACCATAAAGCACAATATATCATACAGGAATTCATCAAAAAAAAAAAATCATACAGGAATCAACAAAAAAGGGAAGCAAAATGTCAAAGATATATTGAGAATGCATGTCAACACCTGAAGGCTGCAATCTTCTCTCTATTAGTGTTTCTTGCCATATCAGCCTTGGCCAAAGGGGACCACATCAGTCTCTCATGTAGTGTTATTATTTCAACAGATAGAAACCAAACGCCATGGAACAAGTGATACTTTCGATTCAACACAATCAGAATAAAGGAGTCCCCTTCACCAAAATTGGGAAAACTGGATTATGCCCTTGAGGAGTGCTCTAGCCTCAACCTTTGTAGCATCACAATTGCCTATGGGATTGGTGAAGGACATTATTGCATGCCTCTATTAGTTCCTATGGATGCCTCCAGACCCCTCTTGGGCAGGATTTGCCCTATGTACAATCATCAAAATTGAGCTTGAAGGATCTTTAGGGACATTTAATCCTGCTTGAAGGTTTGTGAAGAGCTTGAAGGAGCTTCTTTCCTATCTCCAGCTCTCTCCCTGACCTTACTCGTACTTCCTTGAAAGTGTTACGTGGACACTGATATGAGTGTTGTGTTAGTGTTTGTACGTACTAAAGGTGCCTAATGCAATGCGTGGTGTATGAAATGATGACATGTGTACAAAGTCTTAGTGCTCTTCATGCATACAATATTTCAGTGCTTCATATATCCAACATGTCCTTTCTTTTTCACACTCCCACTCAAATTGATGTGGATGATGATGGAGCATCAATTTGCTAACCAAGAAATTGGGTTTGTCATGTGTCTTGGGTTTGGTGAATGTATCTACTATTTGAAGATTAGAAGAAGGCCTAGGCTTTCTAAAAACAAACTAAAGCCTTAACTCAAATCCTCATCCGGAAAGCACTTTCGGCAATGAAAATCTCTATGATGGCTCTAAATCAATTTCCAATACAATAAAATTTGGAACTAAAAAATGGTAAAGATCTTGCGAATCTATGAACACTTATTTTTAAGGCGAAATGGACGGTCTAGATAATTTGTTAATTTGTTACAATGTACACTATTTTTAGAGCTTGTAATCGTATTTTTTTCCACAATCATAATGTTCAAGCCAAGCTGATCGATATAAGCGCTTTCCAATGCTTGAATTGCAATTTTCAATTAGTTATGAGGTGAGGCTTTACTTACTTTGATAGGGCTACAGCCCTATCAAACTGTTTTCCTTTAGAAAAAAAGAAGGTAGATTGATTTTTCCCATTTTAAATGGCTCCCGGATGAAGTGGCAATCAACTTTTATATGTTTGGTTTGTATGTGAAATACTAGATAGAAGCGATTTGAATTGCACTTGTATGGTCACCATAAAGCGGAGTTGGAGCAATGATTAGTACCCTAATTTCACGAAGAATACCCTAAGCGATTACTAAACACGCGGAGGACATTTATTGATACTCAGATTCTGTTGAGGATTCGGAGATGTGATCTTGTTACTTGTGCTTCCTGGATAAGAGGGAATCTCTAAGGAAAACACACCATCCAGTTATGGAGGGTCATGTGTTAGGACATCCTGCCCAATCGGCACCAGTGTATGCTAAGAGTTGCAGTGATGTCCTTTGAAAGAGAAGTCCACGCCCAAGGGTGCCCTGTAAATATGACATTATCCTATGGACAACTGTCCAATCATGTAAAGGTAGGGCTGTCATAAATCGGTTGCCCTTAAGATCAGGTCAAGGTGAGGTAGATAAGACTTTTGACCATTCGTAGATAGATGGATCTTTTATTGGATCCCCACTATTGTGACTCTATTTCGCATTCAGCTTGATCGGTGTGTCGACGCAAGCATCAATTATTCGGGCGAGGTGAATGAGATCTTGGTTATATTCTTTTATGAAAGAGAGATACCTTGGTAAGAATATTGAACTTAGAGGCCCAAAAAACACGTCAATTTACCAAGATCTTTCTTGTAAAAAAATGTAAGGATTTTATGCAACTCTCAAATACCGATAGAATCATTGCTGGAAATGTGAACGTCATCTATATAGACTACCAATATGGCAAGTCCTCTGGCAGTCTTCTTGAGACATCCTACTCGCTGGATGGTTGGTTGGAGTTTTTTAAACGAAGCCCTAGGTCTTTGTTTAATCCCATAGAGTGATCATCTAAGTAGGCAGACATAGTTTGGATTTGAGTGTGGTATCTTGGTGGTGGTAAAAAATTGCTTCTTTAGATTTTCATGTAGAAAGGCATTCTTGACATCCATTTGTAGTATGGGTTGGAGGCGACGACAGCTAGAAGGGTCCTTACTATTGTCATTTACTCACATGGCCAAAAGTTTTGTCATAATCTATGCCATATTATGGCTTGTAGCCTAAGGCAACAACATGAGTGTTATATGTATCTAACGAGCCACCGGATTTTATTTTTATGGAGTATTCCCATTTGCAACCAATTGGGTTGACATTTGGTGGGGCAACGTACCATCCCCCATGTATGGTTTTCTTCTAAGGTGTTTATTTCCTTAGCCATCGGCCATTGCCATCCGCAAACATTCATGTGCAGCACCCTTATAAGAAGTGGGTACATAAATGGATTCTATCAAGGTGAGGAGAGTTTGGGACAGGCCTTATTTATCAGATGGATGAGAAATTCTTGATGAACGACTTAAGGCAATATACGTGGAATCAAATGGTCTACCTGAAGAGGTGTCCTAGGGAGGACGCGTAGGAGTCGGTAGATCACTTCCTCAAATCCATACAAGGTCGAATTTCATTATTCATCAAATGCTCGTATGCCATAGGTCCATGATTAGTAATGTTACATCAACATTAGAGACTACAAACACAAAGTCAACACATGAATCACTCAAGTCATAATTCACAGCAAAGTCAAAATACATAAAGCAGAAAAAAAAAATCAATTGGTAAATAGAATTTGTAACAGATAAACCTGCAAGACTCAAAGCATGACATCACTTCTGAAGATTCGGTCTCCCAATCCAAAGAAATTTCATGAGACTCAAACCAAAACATACGATTGAATATGCGAGAGTTATCCAAAGCCGAACTTCTAAAAATATCACAAAAACGAAAACCAAAAGGGTAAGAAAAACAAATCATAATGCAATTTACACAAAATATGAGACCCTCGTTTAAATATTGTGATACACTATCCTTTCCACAATCAGATCGATATAGGCTTGAATCAATGACCTTTGTTTGTCAAAAGTCCTCTTCTGCAATCACTCCAAACCCCAAAAAGTAGCTTGTAGATTAACATTCGGTTTTGCAAGAAGTCCTTCGATTTTGCAAACTCCAAATATTTTTTTGATCTTGGGAAAAATTTCAAAAATACAAAATTTTGAGATGTTTCTTTCTCAAGAAGGCACAAAAAGGGTTTTGGGACTAGAATGCGCCCCAAAAGTTAACATTTTTGCCCTTGGCTGTGGGCCTTTTTCCAACCTCGGCCTTGTGCATTGAGGTGCTGCCTAGGTGCGTGTCTTAAGGTGGCTGCCTAGGCCGCTCCTGGGCGCCTAGCGAGTGCCTAGTTGCACGTCTGCTTGCGGCGTCCGCCTAGGGCTATACTTTGTGATATTTTCTCTTGCTGCCTAGGCGACCAGGTGGACGAATTTTTAAACATTGCTCTTTTCTCAAGTAAGCCTATCCCCTCATCAAGTACTTTGGCACCTTGCTTCTTCCTGTCAATTAGTACTTTCTGACCTTGGCTTTTGCTCTTATCTAGGCCTAGACTCTGTGCCATCTAATATAACTGGGATCCTGTGGGCAATGACGTGTTCACTCTCAATTCTATTCTATGCTTTCAAACCCATGATCTTCTAGGTGAACATAAACTTGTTGGATGAAGGTGATGCTTTGGCAATCAATAGGAAGATCAGAAATTCGAAGCCATCTTGCCTCCATTTTCTAGATTCTGTTTCCTTGTTGTGTATTCATACCCTATGTCGTCCTCACTCCATCCCTTAGAAAAAGTTATATGGGTAATGTAGATGGAGCATCCCTGCCGAACATAGTTCCAGGACTGCCTGATCACTGAAATACCTGCTTATGTACCGTTAACTTCAGTACCTCTTGTCCTTTGTGCACCTTTACTAGTTTACCTTCCCTGGAGTTGGTTGGACTTCCAAAACTTTCATTCCCTGTTCCTTCCCTATTGTCCTTGGCTAAACAGACCAGCCTTTGTTGGCCTATCTAGTTCAGTTGCCTCTATGACACCGATATAACTATGTTAACCCATAAAATGGTCTATATACCTACAGGAATACCCTTTCATAGTCCTTTGCTACCTTTGGGAAGTCCTGTCTTCCCTTTCGAGGATTTAGATGCTGAGCCCCATATCCTTATTTTTGATCACCTCAACAGGTCGTAAATCCTTCTTTCTTGGTTGGGCAATTGGTCATTGTCCGTTGCCAAAGGAGGTGAACCTTGTGCTAGTGGCTAACCTAACTCCGTAAGAGCTCCATATACCAGTATGCCTGGAGAGGAAAACTTAATGATAACAGAGAATTGAATGGTGATAGGAATCGGAGAACATTTGTATTTAGGGTTTGGTGGCATCAAGCTGAATGTACTTGCATGGGCTTCTTGGACCTCTCCCTATCCGTGGCATCTACAACATGTGTTTGATGAGTACGTCCATCTTTGTAGGTCCAGACAGATCGCTTACCGTTATACACGGAGGTAGGCAAACCATCTTGCAGATGCCCTTGCCAAAGCTGGTGCTCCCAGTGCTTTTTTATGCTAAGGGTGGTTTGTATGTCTTTTGCTTGCTGCCGACCTTTTTGCTTTGTGGGCTAGCTGTGACTTATAGTCCTTTTGTAACCTTCATTTTTTAGTTTCAATACAAAACAGTGAACCTTCTTTCACACACACAATAAAAAAAAAAGACAAAGAATGTGAACTTGAAGACTAGTACCTATAAAAAAAATGTGAACTCAAGCACTAGCGAAACTGAAATCTGCAACAGAGGAGCACCCTCACAAGGTAGGATTGCAATGAGTTGAGGGATCAAGTGAGCCTGATATACATACTGAGTGATTTCTAATCTTATGAGAGCAACCCTATCATCATGTCTAAATTTCCTGAATTGTAGGTGATAATGTTGAGAAGACATCTTTTGTTGTTTGAATGACTTAAAAGTTGAAATGTTGCATAGGGATTTACTTTCATGCAATGTTCGAAAATTCAGTTGCCCAACCGCCTGGACGAAAAAATTTTCAAAATGCCTAGGCGCAGTCTGGGCGGGGCATTAGGTGTTTCTGCTTCTGGGCGCCTGCCTAGGCGCTATTGTTTGGGCGCCCGCTTACGTGCCGCCCTGTGAGAACTTGTGGCGGAAAAAACCCTCGGGTGAGGGTAAAATACATAATTTTTTCCCCCTAAAAAGGGGGGAAAGGGGTTATCGGGGGTATTCTAAACCACCCAATAGAAATCTGTGACCTTTAGGGTGTGAAAAACCTCTAAAAAACAACTATTTTGTGATTTATCAAAAGATCGATGAATTTTTTATTTTTTCGATTTCTTCCCAAAATGAAGGAAATAGTTCTTGGGTGGATTTGGAGCTTCTAATAGTTGATTTTGAGTACTTTTGGCAACCCAATAGATGAGGTTTGCACCGACATTGATTTCATTTTGATAGTTTTAAAGTATTATCATATTATCATATTTGAAAGAGGGTTTTGATTTTATTTTGCTACAACATATTATGTTATGAATCACGTGTTTTCTCTTTGAGGTTTGTATGATTGTCTCATCCGTAAATATGTTATGTGATTGTACTTATTGTGGTATTGTATTGTTGTACGATTATGTTTTCGTCTATTTCATGATCACGAGGAGTTTGGGTCTCTAAAATTGCCCTAAAAACTTCCTAAGGCTATAAACCATGCCTTAAGAACTCCCCAATTTTTTATGTTTGGGGTGGGGGGTTTTGATGTTGGTGAGGGCACCTTGTCCCTGGGTGCCCACCTAGTTGGCCAGGCACCCAAACTGCCTAGGCACCCTAATCTGTTTTTTCGAACATTGCTTTCATGTAATGGGCAAAGGATTAGATTTTATTCGGTCATTTATTGCTTTATCCCTTCATAGTAAATTTGTTCATTCTTTCTATTCTTTTGTGGTGTTTCAATTTTATTTGGCCTCCTTTTCTTCTCCAGGTTATTAATGACTTGTTAGATCCCACAGGCCAGAATTTAAGGATTCGTGAAGATGCACAGGTATATGAGTTTGCATTTTTTAGTTGCCATTGCAATTTCAATTAGTTTCTTGATTATTAATTTTTCCTGAACTCTGGATGGGCATATTGTACTTGGAGAGGCTCCTTGTTCTGTTGATTGTTTGGTTAATCTAGTTGCTGGATAATGTACATGGAGAGACTCATTTTTTAGCTGGACTAATTTTATCCATGCATCTCAATTTTGTTACTAGTAATTCTGTCAATACAGGGCAGTTATTCATTAAAAAGAAAAGAAAAAGAGAAAGAAAAATCTAGTTGGCTGATGACTTAGGTTTAGTACTTTTCTTCTTTGTTAGGTTTAGTGCTTATCTTCTTTGATAATGGTATGTTAGTATGTCCCTGAAGCTAGTTGATTCGAATCCTTGCTTTCATTTATCCAGCAAACAGTAATGGGCTGAGCAACATTTTGCACCATAAATAGCAGTAACATCCTGGCATCATTTAATCGGCAAGGAGTTGAAAAATCATGAGTGATATCACTGCCAAATATTGGACACCATTAATTGGAAACTATGTTCCTTATTCTGCAAATTACCAAAGAGATGGTGGTTAACTTCTTAGGTTGGTTAGAGTCAGTTTCATGCTCGTTTCACCTATTGAACATTAATGTGTCATTTATTACCTGTTATGTATTGCTTTTCTGTAAAAGTTTGTGTTCTTGCTTTTGTAAGTGGCACCTAGGAGACAGCTACCTGGCATTTGAGACATCTGCAGGATAAGAAAAAAAAAAAAAAAATTATTGAATTGTATTTTGTGTTTTCAAAAAATAGATAAATTTAATTTATCGTATATATCCATTCCTTTATGCATGATTGCTAATTTGGCATGAACAATTGTCACTATTTGTGCCTATGGAGGGTTTGTATTTGTGTAAATGTGAAAAAACTAAATAAGAAACAACTGTCATCCATGAATCATCGCAGACGATGTTAGGAAATGCTATTATCCATGTGCTCATATGCAAATGACACAAACATGAAACACCTGCCAATACTTAGGTTTGATCCTATTTTCTGATACTAAAAAAGAGTGTAGAGCAGTGCTCGCCAACTTGGCCCATCCAACTTGGAGCCGGCCGTTCAAACTGGAACTAGGCACTGGATGATCTGGTTTTGGTGGTCCGGCTAAGTATTTTTTAAAAATAAAAGAAACAAATCTTGAAAAATAAAGGATTTGTTTGTATTGTGTCTTTGAATGTTTTTTTTTATCATTTTGGCAAAGATTGGAAAGTGTTTGGCCATGAATACTTATTTTTACATTTTCCCATATTTTTTGGAAAGTTTCTAAAATACCCCTAGGCACAGTTCGATTTTTTAAAATCCATTTTTTTCACTACTTTTCAACTTCATGTAGATATGCTTTGTTTAATCATGTTTTAAATATACTTTTCATATTTTTTTAAATTTATTTTCTATTTTTTATCTTTTAATACTTTTTGGACCGACCAGGACTTGATCGGTTAGGCCGGTTGAACCGGCTGCTCTACCGGTTACTCGGACTTGGCCCTTGGCTAGTTTCCGAGGCCGGTTCGTTTTTACAAACAATGGTGTAGAGAGTAGTAGGGGGCTTGGAATGTCTCCCCTAGCCTTTTCCAACTCGAAAGGTAAAGGGGGAAGGGGTGTGATGCAAGGATAAAATAATAAATAAAAAAAAATTGGTGAGAGATTATACCCACTCTCAGGGTCTAAAAGAGAGTTCACCCCAAAGTTCTCTTCACAAAATAAATAACAAACTCCTTTAATCTTGATATCTTTTTCAAATTGCTCATAAAACAATGAAAAATTGACCTTAATACCAAGATCATGTGGATGTTTACCATCGTGGTTTTTGCATCACAAATTTATTATTAGATTCAGGAAAGGTACCTCGAGTCGGTCGTTGGACTTGATTCGTCTCTACAGTGAAATCTCGGGTCGGATCTTCATGGTTGCGAGCCTGCTCTTCTTGAATAATGATGTTTTTTAATCTTTGCCATTGCTAATTCACTTTGCAAATTTCGCTTCTAATATCTTACACGAGTTTGGTTCAACCTTCTAAAATTTGTAGCATGTGATTATGCATAACAAGATTAGGTTTCGATAGCATTGTGATGGTTGGATCTTCTTTGCTCGGATACCAACTGATATAGAGAAAAAAATAAAAAATAAAAAATAAAAAATAAAATAAGAGGCTTGAGAGGTTGTGCCTCTCTTAGGTTCTGTTAGGGAATCCACCTCAAAGTTCTTTTCACAAAATCAAAGAAACCTCTTTCTTTACTCTATTCACCATCTCCTTACAAAGACATTTTCGCTTGAATACAACTCAAAGAAACAAAAATAAAAAAACAAAATAAAAGAAAACCAAAACTCTCTCTCTAACCTCCACTTTTTATCTTTCTTTCTCTCTTATTAACCAAACATGAGCCCCTTAAAAATCTCTCCCTAGATCTCTCAAGTCCATTAACATAGGACTCCCCCCTTTAACTCATGTTAATCTCATTAATTTCTCTCATACATAACTTCAAGCCTAATCTACTAGAGAAAGTCCTAACCAATCAACCACTAAAATCCTATCCAATCCCCCAAAAAAAAGAAAAAAAAAATCCCATTCTACCCCTTAAATCTCTACGACTAAAAAAAAAAACAATAATAACCTTATAGAAAACTAAAAACCCAAATAGCATCCTTTTTTTTTTTTAAATCTAGAAAATAAAAATATAAAAAATCCCAATTTTTATTTGCATTAGAGTGTCTGATGCCTATAGACTCTTCATTGAAGGGCATTTTCCGTCCTCAGTTGTAGCAGGACTGTGGCATGTGCCACAGCTCGACATAGCCAGTTTCTCACTTTGAGGTAGTCTTGTCTAGGCAGAGTGCCTGAGCTTGGGTGGGTGGGTTTGCTCACCTAGTGCCTAAGATTCAGAAAAATTTACTGAAAAAGCCCATTTTACTATTGGGAATTTAAACATAATCCCATTATATTTTATATTTTGCACTCAAGTCCCGCTTTTTTATTGCTCATGTTGTATTTTAATTTTGTTTTTTTTTTCTATACATTAGGTTAAGCTCATATTTGGGGCATCAACACTTCTCACCATCACACACTTTTAATTTAAAAGAAATAAAATGGACAAAAAACTCCGCTGAAACTTGTAAGGGTAACTTTTATCAATTGAATTAGTTTTTGTGTATTTCAAAGATGTACGATGCAAACAGGTATGAACTCTCAAAATTTGAACTTAGTTCTATATATAAAAGGAATTAAGATTAAAATTCGATACACATTCTCAAAAAGTGGGACTTAGGCGGCAAAAAAACAGGGGACTATTTGTGAATTCGGCTAATAAAATGGAATTTTTTTCATAAACTTCCCTAAAATTA